CTGCATTTGATATAACAGCATCTCTTTTGATTCCTTAGCACGTTAGTATTTAATGTCATTAGTCTATACTCACTTTTGCAGCAATCTTGGTCTGTTTTCTTGGAATGCTACGTTTCCTTTGCTTAAAAACATATTTGAAATTAATCATTATTATTTTGGTGAGGTTATTCTAATGTGTTCATTATTCCTCAGGCCCTTTTATGGCTGCCATCGGCCTTTGGGGATGTCATTCAATTAGTTAAATCAGTTACTTCTAGTTCTTCTAAAGATCTTTTATATATTTTCTTGAAGGCAAGAAACATATTTTATTAGGCCTTTGTGCCCACACAATTCCTTGTATGTAAATGCTCGATACGTCGAAAGCTGAATGAATTAATAAATGATTGATTCAATGAATGAATAAATACATGGAAGAGAAGGAATCTAGATGGTAAATTCTTTGGAGACTGGAACAATGTTTTATTCATCCTCTAATTGCCAATGCTTAGTGAAAAACCTAACGATAATACTTCTTGGTTAATTTATAGCTGTTAGATGAGAAGAAATTGTCTATTTATTCCCGGCATATGATTCCAGAGAATGGAAACGGAAGAAGATGAAACCAAACGGAGTTCTATGTGCAGTGCTCTCTGCACCTTCACGATTTTAACCCCGGCTAATCATCCCAACATCCTGTAAACTGGATATTATTTTACGGTGGCGGAAACTTGAGTTCTGAAATTTAAGCACCTCGCCCAAGTTCACACAGCTGGTGTCACGGCCTGACAATTCTTGAGTGTAATTTGCTGTGTCATTGCACCCTATTTCTGCACAGATTGAAAGGTGAAAGAGGAATGACCCTTTGTATGCTAAAATACAAAAATACACAACCCTCTGGGTTTCCCTTGTGCATCAGAGGAGCTGTGGCTCTGGAGGAAAGAGCTTCTGTCCTCGCCTTTCAACGACAGACAAGGCAGAAACAATGGAACGAAAAGCTACGTCCCCGCCCGGGTCTTTTTCTGCGGGCGGAACGCAGGTGCTGGGGCCTTCAGGCGCGGAGGGGACCGGAGAGGGAGGGACACACGGCCCGGCAGTTGCCTGGTAACGCCCGCTGGAGGAGTCCCAGCGTAATAAGGTCCCAGAGAAGTGTCACTGGCCCTGAGTGGGACCCGGTAGCCTGTTCTCCCCGAGTCGGCGGCCTGTCCCCGCGGCTTGGCGGGCTAGGGCAGGGGAAATGTTGCAGGAGGAGTCGGATCTGTCTCTCATTATTGCCCAGATAGTCCAGAAGCTCAAGGGCTCCAATTTGTACGCTCAGCTGGAACGGCAGGCCTGGGTAAGCGAGGCCGGCTGGGAAGGGATGGAGACGGGGGGCCGTGCTGAGGTCGTGTCTCCTTCTCCAGCGCCCGAGCCCAAGCCACAGTTCTCCTCTGGTCTCTCCAGCCCCGCTCTGGTGCAGGCTCCGCTTGCTCAGCCCCAGGCGGGGGTAATAGATTCTTAAAGAAGGGTGGGGCGTGATGACGCCTTTCTTCCCGCCAGAGAAACGCCGAGGCCACTCACCTATTCCTGTAGTCATTTACAGGCTGTAATTTTTCAAGCTGCTGGGACTCTGATGGTAGCTTGGACCACGCTTCCCCTCACTTTTACCTCTTGTGGGTGGATTTGGGCCCCCAGGTGCTTATTTGCTTTCGTGTCAATGTATTGCTTTGTTGCACTTTACCCTCCCTGCAATCATTCCTGTTCTGTCCGTCTGCCCAGCATTTATTGAGTACTCTCTAACGTGCTAGGCACAGTGGATGCACAGATTGATCAGGAGATCTTCGACTTTTTTGTGAATGTCATATAAATGGAACCATATAGCATGTAAACTTTTGTGCCTGCTTTCTGTCATTTAGCGTAATTGCTTTTGAGATTCATCCGTGTTGGTATTTTAGTAGTTTCTTTTCCTTTTTATTGCTGAATAATACTTCATTGTTTGGATGTACCACGGTTTGTTTATCCATTCATTGGTTGATGGGCATGTGGATTGTTTTCCAGTTTTGGAGATTGCGAATAAAGCCGATATATACGTTCTGATATAGGTCTTTGCTTGGATATTTGTTTTATTGTTTATTTTTTGGATACATACCTAGGAGTGGAATTTCTGAGTTGTATGGTAGGTGTTTAATTCTATAAGAAACTGCCGAACTTTCTCAAGTGGCTGGACCATTTTGCATTCTCACCACAATTGGTGAGAGTTCAGGTTGTACTGCATCCTAGATGGTGCTTGATGTATGTCGTCAGTTTTCTATTTATTAGTTTTTATTAATTAATTACACTCCTCTAGAAGAAGCATAGTAGTATCTCATTGTAGCTTTAATTGCATTTCCTGAATGACTAATGATATTAAGCATTTGCTTATGTGCATATATCTTCTTTGGGTAAGAAGTCTGTTCAATTCCTTTGCCCATTGAGAAGACTTGTGTTATCTTTGTATTGTTGAGTAGAAAGGATTTTTACCATATGATATGAGTCCTTTATCAATATGCGTCTTGCACATATTTTCTCCCAGTCTGTGGCTTATTTATAATTTTGTTTTCTTAACTGGGACTTTCAAAGAACAAAAAATTTTAATTTTGATGATGTAAATTTTGATTAATTTAAAAAATAATTTGTGCTTTTTTGCCCTGCTTATAAATCTTTGCCCTAACCCAAGGTCTCAAAAAAGTTTCTTCGATGTTTGTTTGTTCTAGAAGTTTTATAGTTTTAGCTTTAACATTTAGATCTGTGATCTATTTTGAGTTAATTTTTGTATTTGCTGCAAGGAGGGGCTTTTGGGTTTTTTCTTGCATATGGATATCCAGTATTTCCAGTACCTATTTGTCGAAAAAATCTATTTCTTCTCCACTAATTTCCTTGGCACCTTTGTTGCAAATCAGTAACACACACACACTCCTAGAAGTATGTGTGTGTGTGTAGGTAAATTTGTAGTAAGCCTTGAATAATCCTCTTTGTTTCTCTTTTTCAAAATTGTTTTGTCTATTCTAGGTCCTTTGCTTTGCCATTTAAATTTTAGAATCAACTTGTAAATTACTACACAACTTGCTGGGACTTGGATTTGGATTATGTTGAATCTATAGATCAATTTGGGAAGAACTAACAATATTTAGTTTTCTGGCCTGTGCTTCTGGCCTGTTACATAGTTTATCTCTTCATTTATTTTTATCATCTTTATTTTCTCTTGTCAGTGTTTTGTAGTTTCAGTATATAAGTTTTGCACACTTTTTGTTAGTATTTTTCTCTAAGAATTTCATGTTCTTTGATGTTATTATAAGTGGTATTTTTTTTCTCATTTAAATTTCCAATTCTTTATAAAAAAGTATACAAAAACACAATTGATACTGGTATATTCAGCATGTATCCTGACAGCTTGCTAAATGTATTTATTAGTGATAGTACCTTTTTTATAGATTACTTAGGATTTTCCAGGTATATATATGTACCAAAGTATACAAAAACACAATTGATACTGGTATATTCAGCATGTATCCTGACAGCTTGCTAAATGTACTTATTAGTGATAGTACCTTTTTTATAGATTACTTAGGATTTTCCAGGTATATATATGTACCATTCGTGAATAAAGACAGTGTTCAATTTTTCCTTTCCAATCTGTATGCCTTTTACTTCTTTATCTTGCCTTATTGTACTGGATGAGGCCTCCAGTATAGTGTTGTATAGATGCTTTTTTAAAGTCAGGTTAAAGAGAAGAAATTCTCTTCCTGGTTTTCTTAGAGTTTTACCATGAATGGATGTACAATTTTGTTAAATACTTCCATTTGTGATTTTTTTCCTTTTAGTATGTTGATATAGCGAATAACTGATTGGCCTTGAATGTTGCATGTTTTAGTCTGTTTGTGTTGCTTATAACTGAATACACAGAACTGGGTGATTTATGAAGAAAGTGAAATTTGTTGCTTACAGTTTCTGAGGCTGAGAAATCTAAAGTCCATCTGGTAGTCGTGACAGTGACCCAGGGTTCTCACATAGCAAGATGGCGGAAGCAGAGAGAGCAGAAAGAACAGAAAGACAGACTCTCCTCTTCTTTTAAAGCCCTTGGAACCACAGTCCTGACCATCATTTTTAATCCATTCACTACTGCATGGTCCTACAGTCCAATCAGCTCTTTAAGGCTCCACCTTTCAATTACCACAATAGGATTTCCCACTCTCTTAACAGTCACAGTGGGGGCTAAGTTTCTAGTACATAAAACTTGGGAGACAATTCAAGCTTCAGTCGTTTTGGGTGGACATAATTCAATCCACTACAGTTGTACCAGTTTGCATTTCACTCGGTTATGAGCCATTATCCTTTTTATGTATTTCTTGATTTAATTCACTAGTATTTTGCTGAAGATTTTGTGATTATATTTATGAAAGATATCAGTTTGTAGTTTTCTTGTAACATTTTTGTCTGGTTTTGATATCAAGTTAATGCCAATCTCATTAAAAATGAGCTGGGAAGCATTTCCTCCTCTCCTATTTTCTGGAGGAATTTGTGTAGAATTAATATTATTTCCTCCTGAAATGTAGAGTAGAATTCCCACTAAAGTCATTGGTACCTAGAGTTTTCTTTGTGGAAATATTTTTAATAAAAAATTTGATTAAAAAATATATGCAGGGCTATTCAGGTTATCTTTTTTTCTAACGTAAGCATTGATAGCTTTTATGTTTCAAGATATTGTTTCACCTAATCTACATTATCAAATTTATTGGCTTAAAGTTATTTATATTATTCCCTTATTTTTCTTTCAGTGTCTGTAGGATTTGTAGTGATAGTCCCTTTTTTATTCCTAATACTGTAATTTGTGTTTTATCTTTTTTTCTTTCTTAGTCTGGCCAGAGTTATCCATTTTACTGATCTTTTCAAAGAACTAACTCTTAGTTTTGTTTTTCTGTTTTCACTCTCTCTGATTTTTTCTCTTTATTATTTTTTCTGCTTTCTTTGCATTTAATTTGCATATTTCTAGTTATTTAAGTGGAAATGTAGATGATGGATTTGAGACCTTTATTCTATTCTAATATAATGCTATAAATTCCCTCTGTATACTACTTTAGCTGGGTCCCATGAATTATGATGTAGTCTATTGTCATTTTCACTCAATACAGAATTTTTACAAAATTTTTCTGTGACTATATCTTTGACCCATGGATGATTTAGAAATGAATTGTTTAGTTTCCAAATTTTGGAGAATTTTACTAATATCTTTCTCTGAGTGATTTCTAGTTTAGTTCCATTATGGTCAAGAACATAATGTATATGATTTTAGTTCTCTTAAATGTGCTGCAGTTTCTCTTATGACCCAGAATAAGTTCTCTCTTGTTGAATGTTTCATGTGTGCTTGAAAAGAATGTTCATTCTGCTGTTGCTGTTCTAAAAATGTCAATTAGGTCAAGTAGATTGATAATTTTGTTCAAGTATTCTATATCCTTACTAAGTGGGGAGGCTTCAGTCAATATAGTCATGGGTGGCCATGACTTATTTTATTATTACATTACTTTCAGTGTGCCACAGGTTTCAAATACCTCTAGTGAGTGGTGGCCTGCTGTAACTTTGTGCTTAGAATAGGTCTTGGGGGCTTCGGGTCAAGATGGAGGAATAGATGGTCCCCAATGTCACTCTCTCCCACAAATCAACCAATTTACAACTATTAAAAAGCAAGGATAGTCAAGCTAGGGTTGCTAGAGCTCAGGGGGAGAGGAGGAGAGACCTATGGAGTGCATGAAGATGGGAGAAGCCACAATGAGAGAAAGAAAGGACTGCTCCCACCATTTCAAATCCTAGCTGCTTCAGGGCTGGAGCTGGTGAGCCCGTGGAGCAAGAGCTGGCAAAAGCTGCAGCTGTGCCTTTGCATGAAGTTGCTTAGAGGTGGCAGGAGAGAAGAGGGCCTTGGTGGCCCGCAGGCCAGCAAGACCACTGACAGGGCTCCCGTGGACCCACACAGGAGTAAGGAGCCACAACAATTGAAAAAAGGAGCCACTTAGAGGCCAGTGAGTCATCACAAAGGACTGGCGCAGGGCCCATCTCATGACAGGTGTTTGGAGTGCGGGTGATGGGGGAGGCGGGCCATGGGGGGAACATTGGGCATAGCAAGGACAACTGATCTGCCTTCCAATCAGCACAGGCCCACTCTGTGTAGACTGGTCAGGAATATAGAACTCCAGGGGGAGCAGTTTGCTGAAAAGACTCAGGTCCAGACCAGAGTTTCTACACAACCCAGGTGCACTGGATCTCACGAGACCAGGAAGTACCTACAAAGTCAACCATTAAAACTTGAGCTGCACAAAAAGTCTTCCC